CCAGGCGCGGAGACTCCATTTAAAAGTCTCCCGCCTGGAACAATGGCCACAGCCACTTGCGTGACGTGAATTCCGCTTGCCGTTTTTCTTTTGTCATTTCTATTTCTCATCTCTTCCCTTGATTTGCACAAACACAAAGTCATTCCGCGCATGGCCGAAAAAAATCAGAGGGAACATAGGTCACTACGTTTTACAGTAAATCCAGTGAAGCGAGTCAACAACGTGATAATAAGACGCCATGTCAAACACAAGGATTGTTATTATCATGAACAGCGCCAAGCAAACCAGGAAAGAGAATCGCATCCCTTTTAGCAACACCCCGAGGATTTGAGAACACAAACTGAACCAAATTCAAGGAATTTTTAAAAAAAGTTGAGAAAAATAAACCATAAAAGAAACCCAGGTTTTCACCTCACGAACAACCACCAAAGCCTGGGTTTTATAGTGAAAATCCCTTTATAGTGAAAAGCCCTTTGAAAACGTGGCCAATTGAAAAATAAATGTAATTTGATTCCACAAGAAAGATTCAATAAACTTATCCTTAATTTTTTTAAAGAGGGAGACTGAGTGAGAGAGAGAGGTAGAAACTGAGTGAGAGACAGAGGTAGAGACTGAGTGAGAGAGAGACGGACAGACTTAGAGTGAGAGAAACAAACACGTGCACACACATCGTAATTCAGTGGGAGCGCAGTAAGCAGCTTCGCTCACTCGTCAGTAACACAGACAGCAGAGAGGAACAGTCACACACACACAGTCTCACACACAGTCTCTCTGTCGCGCGCGCACACACACGCAGTCTCTGTCGCGCGCGCACACACAAGCAGTCTCTCTGTCGCGCGCCCACACACACGCAGTCTCTCTGTCGCGCGCCCACACACACGCAGTCTCTCTCACACACACACACACACAGTCTCTCTCTCACACACACACAGTCTCTCTCACACACACACACACACACAGTCTCTCACACACTCTCTCACACACACACACAGTCTCTCTCACACACACAGTCTCTCTCACACACACATAGTCTCTCTCACACACACACACACAGTCTCTCTCACACACACACAGTCTCACACACACACACACAGCCTTACACACACACAGTCTCTCTCACACACACACACACAGTCTCTCTCTCACACACACACACACACACACAGTCTCTCACACACACACAGTCTCTCTCTCACACACACACAGCCACACACACACACAGTCTCTCACACACACACACACACAGCCACACACACACGCACACACAGTCTCTCACACACACACAGCCACACACACAGACACACATAGTCTCTCACACACACACACAGCCACACACACACAAACAGTCTCTCACACACACACAGTCTCTCACACACACACAGTCTCTCTCACACACACACACAGTCTCTCACACACACACACACACACAGTCTCTCTCACACACACACACAGTCTCTCACACACACACACACAGTCTCTCACACACACACACAGTCTCTCTCTCACACACACACACACTCTCTCTCACACACACACACACTCTCTCTCACACACACACACAGTCTCTCTCACACACACACACACACACACAGTCTCTCTCACACACACAGTCTCTCTCACACACACACACACAGTCTCTCTCTCACACACACACAGACACACACAGTCTCTCTCACACACACACACAGTCTCTTTCTCACAC